TTTTTACATCCATGGTGATTCGGAGGGGCAGAAGATCCAACACCACACGGCCGGCCCGGCGGGGTGTTGTGCGTGGGGAACTCTGGGAGTTGAAGTCCACATATCCTAAAGTTGCTAAGGTTAAGAAACACTGGTCTAAGTCAAGGTTAGTTTCTCTTGGTGAGATCCTCCGAAGAGGTTAGTAAAAGGGGTGACCGGCAACATTGTGAGTAGAAGGAGCAAAGATCGGGAGGCCGTTCAGTTACTTTCTTGATCTCTTTAGAAGGGTTCCGGGCCTCAGGTTCACTCATTCAGTGTTTTCCTTATCCGCATACAGCTCCGAAATAAGTGTTTGCTCTTGTAAAATGCAGCTTTAAAAGCCACCACAACCAAAAGAGTTTCGGTAGCGTGAGCATTGCCAGCCGATGGTTCTGGAATGGGCTCCGCTTTTGAGAAGAGAATTGCCGGCAGACGTGGTGCTTTGTATGGATTTTATGTTTATACTTTCGCTTTGTTCTGCGTTAGGGCGAAGCAACTAGATGTTATTAACTTATTTTGTCATAACGTTCTGAAGAGACCGGGGGGGGGGGGGGAGAAGAAACCCAACAACTTTGGAGGCAGTTTTCAGGAAGCAAGCAGGAAATTGACCGGATAAAGAAGCATGGTGAAGCCCCGTAGAGAGAAGAGAGGCTTTAACAGAAACTTCCATCCGGATTACCAGTCCCTCCGATTGAACCACCTGTTGCGGTTCACCCTCTCCTCAATTCTCACTGACTCCCCCCCCCAAAAAAAATCTTACCCAGCAGGAAGGTCATGTTGCTGTTGCTCTTTCGAGGTTATTTCGTTACTTCGCCCCTTCCGGCCGTTGCTAAAAAGAAGCCACGCTACTTTCATGGAGGAAAATACGCGTGCTCAAGGCTCGGAACAGCTGCGGTCGATCGCTTGACGTTTCCACAACGCTGCGGAGAGAGGCCTCATTTTTCCAAGACTCGGGACTTTTTTGTTAAAGGAACGGCTGGTCTCGTTCTCTCCGCTCCTTCACTTTTCCTCTCACTCCGGCAAACTAAGGGTTACTGCGTTTTAACGCAAAAAGGAAGCAGTTAACTTGCATACCGAGGATCTAGTTAAGTGAACTCTACAATCATCTGCTGTTTGCCAAACCACCTTTCGCTGATGTGAGAATAGATCTTTGCTTTTTCATGCTTGGCAACGAAGGGTTAATTTTGCTGATGCGATTTGTGGGTCAGGGAGGATTTCAGATTTATTGTTATTGTTGTTGGTCGCATAGTCAACCAGATGTTTGGACTGGATTTGACATTTTTATCCACCTGTCGAATCCTTCCCAAGCATATTATTATTATTATTCCACTCAATCCTAAGGACTCCGGGCAATTTAAAGAGTAAAAAACATCAATCATAAAATCAAAATTCACTACACTACACTCCTTAAATAATATAATATGAAACAAATATAGGGCAAACTTTTTTACTAAAACCATTTTCTCACCACTAGGAAGTCTGGCCGCTGTATAAGTCATAAAAGGGTGTGGGGTTTTTTGCTCAATTTTACCCTATACTCAGAAGTAAAATCTGAACTTTTTGAACTTATTTCCAAGTCTTAGAACTTAGGACTGTGGATGCCAGTATCCTGTGGAAAAAAAAATTGCTCCTTTTACACTTTTCTGAAATTTTGCATATCTTTGCCACTGAATGTTGTCAGAGCTGATTGATGTGCTAAAGTATATGAAACACGTGGCCAAATTTAATAGAGCTATGTGAGTCTATGGTGGCAAAAAATTAAGTGTTTGGTAGTTTCAGCTTCTCAAAGCTTATGCCTTTTAATAAAATTCATTAGTTGGAAAAGGTGCTACCAGACTCCCAATTTTGTGGCCACACTTAAGTGTTAATTGGTCACACTCCATTTGCATACCAGTAAGATACATAATAAGCTTATCACATAATCTCTGATTCAGTGGCAAAGATCTGCAAAATTTCAAAAAACCTTTGTTTGAACAGAACCATAAGCGTCTTCCTGTGTTAAGACAAAAAGTGGTCTACTGTAGCTATTGGTGTCCCACAGTAGTCAACCAGATGCATTCAGAAGCTTGGATAGGAGGGCCTTCTTCCACTTTCCCTACCCAGCAGCTGCTAATTCTTAAAGTATGCTGCCTGTGCTTCAGGAGATATTGTAGCTTATTAAGAGTAGAAGCTAAGTAATTATTAAGCTAATATTGTAGGTTTAGGATTCAGAGCATTCCAGCAGTGTGCTTCAAAACTAATAGGAAATGGGACAGCATAAGAGCTCCTGTGTAATTGAATAGGCTGAGAAAGGTACCTTTAAAATAAAATTGACCACGCCAGAGTCTGAGATATTGGCATTCTGCAATTTTCCAAAGTATGCATTTTTGTTCACTATGGACAGTTTTACGGTCTTTAATAATGTAAGACTAAAACTAAATGTATTCAGCAACGCATGGTTATGCAAACAATGTCTTTGCAAGATATGTGAATCAGGTTTAATCATTTCAAAAATATGGACAGGATCACATGCATATTTATCAGAACTTAAACCCTAGAGAATTCAATGAGGTTTGCTCCTAAATAAGTGTGCCTAGAAATATCACCCTTAAAAGTCGCTCCCCTCTCCTTAGGAATAAAAACAGAACTTGCATTCAAGCAGATAGGTTAACGACACCAAAGTATTTCATTTACAGCGGTCAAACTACATGAAGCCGTCACTTTTCACCAGCAGACCCCGCCTACCGGCGCGAGGACTAACACCTTCAGAAAAACGCCGCCCATTCAATGCCGGTCTCGGCGTTTTGAAGACTCGCTCTTCCATTGGCGGGATGCCTTCGAAGCTTCGGCCAGCTACGTGATGCCGGATTGGTTGCTTTGTGCGCCCAATGTGAGAGCCGATTGTTGCAGAGTTCGGGGAGGAACCTTACCCTTCAGGCTCCGCCCTTTCTTTTTGGCTGTCGCCGTGCACGAATGCCCGTGGTCTGAGGCCTGGCCTTTGCGCGAACAACGTGGGGAAGTAAGTAGGGTGGTGGGCTGGAAGCCGGCGCGCCCTTGGCCGCGGTATGCTTACAAGGCATGTCGGGTCAGGCTTTGTTCCGCTGCGCGAATATATCTGCTGGAGAAAAGGGCCAAGAAATGTAGCCTGGGCCTGGGTGGAGGGGTGAAATGGCGGCCATGTGCTTCTTGAATTGGCGTGAGGAACCGGGTGGAATAATCACGGTGGCCTATGGAATAAAAAGAATAAGCTGTGGTACAAACAGTTATAGAAAGTGAGTGGATTAAAGCACTGGATTTATACTATAGTTGAAAATGGGATATTAAAAACGTACTGTTGGAAAAATAAAGCAAAATGCCCATAGAATTTAAAAAGTGGGAACAATATTTAAATAAGGGAAAGCTTGTATAAATTCGTGCTTGGCCATGAGGATTTGTACTCTCTCCTCTTTTGGGGAGAGGTACAGTTTTCCAAAAATACCACTTTGAAAAACAGAACCTCCGGTTTAAAAGCCAGAGCTTCATCAGAGAGTGTAAATTGATGCAAATACTGTATCTAGATCAACTTTTTTTCAAGCTGCTGCTTTTTAAATGTGCCCGAGTATAATTTGTATTATCGTTAGCATAGCAAGTGATAGAAGATGATCAAGATCAGTACAGTATGTACTGCCTTTTCCATCTTTTCCCTTTGAACTTGCATAGCTCATGCTTTCTATTTCATGGCTGGCAAGACATGTGTCTAGTTAAGCCAGTTTTTAATACTGTTAATAGGCAGTGGCTTTCTAAGTTCTCTATTCTTTTAAACATCTGTTACGTGATTCTTTAAGAACAAAAATGGTAACATCAGAAATTACAAAATATATGCTGTACTTATACTCCAGGTATGTTGGATCTTCACTGCACAAAAATCCCAGATTTTATTTTTAATTTGATATACATAGAGGAGACTGAACTGGAAAGGTTGGCTTAGGTCATATGCACTTGTAGTGCTTCATGTGAAATGCCTTGGGTTGGATTTTAAGTATGAATAGAATCAAAATTATGAGGGTGGTGTGTATGTTCTTCAGGAAATGGAGACAGTATGTCCTAGTTTTAAGAAATATCTGTTGCTGTTCAAATACACAGATGTTGAAAATCCTGCTTTTTCTCTTCACAGAATGCGCTACGTTGCAGCTTACCTTCTTGCTGTCCTTGGTGGCAATGAATCTCCAAGCTCAAAAGATTTAAAGAAAATTCTTGATAGTGTAGGCATTGAGACAGATGATGAACGTGTGAATAAGGTGAGAGCAGATATATGTATGAGATATGCATGAAGCACCTATTTTGTAAGTGTAATCTTGATACTTATCATGGGTAAAATGAAAGCTTACAACTTGATATTCCTAGTGGTAATTATCATGGCCCATTTTTTGTAGAAGCTCCTTGAGGTCTCAAAGCCATCACATTATAACTGACTTCCGCTATTCAGAATTAGTGATTTGGAGTAATTTAGATATAATGCTATGTATATTGTTGCAGTGAATTAAATGATATCTCCCTACATTTTGGAATGAAACATTGAAACATTAGACCTAATTTCCTTTTACTGGAATTGTGTGTACCCAAGCAAAAACGACTTGGGTTGCCTATTCTGATCAGGTGCTTGGATATAAATTAGGACAGTTTTAAATGTTTATTCAGAAATAAACTCCTTTCAGTTGAGTTGCTTGGATATAAATTAGGGTAGTTTTAAATGTTATTCAGAAATAAATTCCTTTGAGTTCAATCAAAGCTATTTCCAGTAGATGAAATAGAATTGCCTATGATGTAATTTAGGCCTGATGAAATCAACTGTGCTTGAGTTATTCATGATCAGCTGTCCACATTGATTCAGCAGCCTTAAATATGATTTTGCCTGGATCCAACATTCATGCGTTATACTAAACTATGTTTGATTCATTATAATATGTTTCAAAATCAACAGTTGGCTGAATTGACATGATCCTGAATCATCATGTGGTTTGATTTTAGTTTAGCATGGTGAGGAAATTCACCTATTATGGTTTATAAATCAGTTAGTGACAGACTTTTGAAATCCTTGGTTTCATTATAGCTGTCATTCTGGTTGGAAGACTGTTAAAGCTGTGTAATTGTGCCACTGGATTTTTAATTTATTTTAATGTGGTGGTCTGTTGAAATTACCTCCAAAAGATGTGTTACAATTCTACTAACAGGCATAATATTATACAACTTTCTAACCTTTACTTTTGCTTTAGATCTTACTTTAGAAATAAATGGATAGCACTTAAGTTAACAAAAAGGTGTGTTTTTAATAACTCTATCCTTGTAATGTAAAAGATTTTCTACTTGAGGAAGAAAAGCTATAGAAGAATAAGTGCAATATTGTTACTGCCTCCAAAACAGCTTCTGCTTGTTAAATTCTGCTCTGGTGAGGAAATTTTCTCTCCCATTTGATATTTCAGGCTGGAGCGTATAAACTGCAAATGCCTTCTCCAAAGAGCAGTTCAGAGTGACACTAACTGTCCTTCCATGAAACAAGATGGGGCTGGTTTTGTTACTCAGCACAGTGAAAACTTTCCTTTTCTTAAAGGGGGGCAGTTCGGGAAAAACTTAGGAGATCAGATCTTGCATCCTGTACATAGCCAGTGACAGCTGCTTCTGCTGTATCCTATAAGTCTATTTAAATCCTATTTAAAGTAGATTGAATTTTTCCTCTATACCTTGTCATATTTATAAAAAAATAAGTGTCAAGGAAACCATTTAACACGTTGCACTAGACAAAGATTTTAATTTCTGTTTTAAAATCTGTATGGCTTATTAGAGTGTTGTGTTTTCATTCTATTACTAAAAGGTGATCATTCGAATTAGTTAATTTATTTGCAGTATCCATGATCAGTGGAGATTCCAGGTGGTATAGAACAAAGTAGAGTAAAAGTTTTTTTTTTAAAGTGTACAAATATGAAATAGTATAACCGATATAATGGCCAACCACTATTACCCAAGGTCAAAGGCACGTTAGAATAGGGTGGTTATAACAGTCTTACAGAATGCCTGGAAGGATGGGGCCAAATGTGCCCCCAGAGGGAGCATGTTCCAGAACAGGGGGCTATTACTGAAAAGGCCTGCCAAAGTACCTTAAGGTTAAGTACTATTTCAATATTACATAATGCATCCAAGGGAGATGACAAGTTTATTGTGGCACAGTGCAGCTGCTCCCAGGTTGACACAGTGAAGACCAATTATTTTTTAATATTTGTAATCATGTTTTTATAATATAGAATAAATGTCATGTAAAGCAAAACAACTTGCTCAAAGTATTGATTAGGAAATAGCTGTACTTTTGTATGTCTAGATTTTTTTTTAATTCAATAATCATTGTTATTTATTTTTCCAACTGACTTTGCATTTTTTTAGCATGATATAGATGCTTTGCAGCCTTGGTTCATAAGACAATGAAAGAATCTGTGTTTCATCTTGAAGTGACTCTGTTTCCGTGTTCAGGCTAAATAATTATTCTCCATTAAATTGGCATGTTTAATTGAATACAGGTAGACCTCACTTAACGGCTGCCCTGTTTAGCAACCATTTGAAGTTGCAGTGGTGCTGAAAAAGTAACTTTACTACCCGTCCTCGTATTTACAACCATTACAGTGATCGCCATTTGTGTGCTTCGCAACTGGCTTCCGACAAGCCAAAGTCAATGGAGAAGCTGGTAGTAAGAGCCTAAGTCACAGTCATGTGATGACTTGCTTAACAACCAAATGGGAAGTGATATCATAAGTCTGTCACGATCACGTGATGTTTCACTTAGTGGCAGAGTTGCCAGTTCCAGTTGTCACTAAGTGAGGACTATCTGTAATATACTCTCTTAAATATTGCAATATCAATTCAAATTTTTAAAAATTCCAGAAAAGCAGTGTTTATTGTTTTAAAATTGTTTTAAAAACTATAATTTGTTTTATACTTTAAATATTTTGTTGTGTTCTGTAATATGTTTCAGAGTCGATTGTACCACTGAATTTTCTTTCTAGGTTTTTTCCCCCCAGAGTTGCCCTAGAATTTGCCTTGTTTCTACTTATTGGATATTTCCAAACTGAAGGCCCGAAGGCCCTTAAGGCCTTTGAGAGTACATTTAATAGTTTAGTTGCTGCCTACTTTATCCTTTTGAACAGTATTATTTTAAATATAATTTTGAGCTGAACGTGCACTGTTTTGTATAGGATATGATTTTATGATTTCCATGTTTTACAATTTTTCTTCCTTATATATGCTAGTTTCAAGGGCTCTTGCTGATGAATGCTCATCTCTGAAGTAGCAATGAATTTTTTAACTAAACACTGTTATTATGGAATGTAGTCCAGATAGTCAAGAGTAATGTAGACATTGCTTGTTTTGGGGGGAAATTCAAAGGGTGATAATACTTAATGCTCAGATTCAGACAAGATATAGTTCTATAGAAATACTTTTGATTAAGAAAAAAGCAGAGGGTATGAATTGGAGTAGCTTGTTTTGAATCTGGTGTGAGTTATCATGTCCTTCTGTTTATTGGGATTATTTTTGTAATCTGCTTTATAGAGTTTAATGTCAGGAGTTTGCAAAGTACTGTTCTGCAATTTGTGCAAGTAGCTCATGTAATTACTCCCATCCTAACAGGAGACATAAACACACTTTCTTCAAGAGCATGGATGCAGCACCATGTTGTTGTTATTATTAGTTTTTTATCCCGCCTTTTTAATATATAACTCAGAGTAGCAAACATACCTAATCCTCTTGTCTCCTATTTTCCCCACAACAACCCTGTGAGATGGGTTGGGCTAAGAAAGAGTGACTGGCCCAAAGTCACCCAGCTGGCTTTCATGCCTAAGGCAGGTTTAGAGCTCGCAGTCTCCGGGTTTCTAGGCCAACACTTTCATCACTACCCCAAACTAACTGTTTAGCTATTGGATTAACTCTTTAATTTTACTTTCTACAGGTAATTAGTGAGTTAAATGGGAAAAACATTGAAGATGTCATTGCCCAAGGTGAGTTGATTTATTATGTTTCTATACTGTGTTTCTTCTGAATGTTAAAGACAGTCTTCTGTTATTTTATCCTTGCAAAGACAAATCTGTAAAATAGGTTGGACTGAGAAATAGTGATTGGCCCCAAATCATCCAATGAGTTCCCTGATCAATTGGAGAATCAAATTTTGGTCTCCACGGTCCAGCTTGGGGCATATCAGTACAAAATATATTGGTGGGGATTAATTACTTTTAGAAATAAATTTTGTAGCAGAAGGGTTTTTAAAAGAGGAGTCATTCAACATTCAGATGGATTTGACTTAAATATTATTATGTATTTAAAGCATAACCTGGCAGAATGAATGACATCAAAAAGTGAAGTTTATCAGTCACTTTGTTAAGTATGACCCCTAATGTCATTCATTTTCTCTGCCTGAGAACAGGGAATCAGCATCCTCTGTTCTCTGACATTAAGAAAAGTGATTCAACTAATGCGCATGTCCCTTTGGGAAAGTCACAGACTGGACTGAGGGGGAAAATACATGATGTGGGTAAAGCTGTTTCTGTAGAACCATTGATAGAATTAGCTGTTGTTGATATGATATGCACTGTGTCCTCCCCGAGTGGAAAGATAGGGATGGGAAAATGAGCTGATCCTGGTGTCACATCTGTAAAATCATTTTGGCTGCTTATATCCCCTTATTTCCCTTTGAGAAAGATCCAGGTATGGGTAAAACCAACATGAGGAAATCCGACAAGAGCACTAGCATAATTTCCTTGGATCTGCAGTGTTTAGACCTTTTTGGGACTCTGCAATCAAAATAGGCCCCGAGAGCATCATCAGTACATGCATGTTGCAATGGGGGGCTGTATTGTACATGAAATAGGTCCATTCCTAATTCTCACAGGCTTACACTGTTACCTGATGGGCTTCGCTGATGGACCACATTAATTTAGAGGAACCCTCTTAAAAACAGATACTTGGTTGCTAATCTGTTTATATAGAGGATGTTCTCAACAAATTGCTAGAAAAATTAAGCTTTTATTTTGAAAACTCAACTAATGTTAATTATTGGAATACAAGTCATTGTTTTATTCTCATTTATAACATTTATTGATGCTCCTCTGCTGTACAAAGGCCTATGTTCTGTTGCTGGCTTCATCATACTCTGGGCCTAATATTCTTCACATAAAAGATTTGAAGTGTTCAAAGCATCTACTGTATTCCCCTTTCATCTCTTTTTGCTATTTCACTTTCATAACATGCCCTCTGTTACTGCCATTTCCTGTATGCTTCAACATCTGGAATATATAATTGTTTTAATAATCCCTTTCTCATGCGTGTTCTTGCATTTATACTGTTTTAAAAACATAGCATGTTTTTTTCCATGCTCAAGTGTTTGACAAATTTTGCTTTTTGCAACTGCACCCCAACCCTGTCTTCTGATTCCAGATTCTTGAAACATGCTGTTTATTCCCAGATAATCTAGTTTCTTTCTTACAGTTCATTTTGGCTTTTCCAGTGGAATTGGGTAGGCACCTGCACCCCATTTGCAGGCCCTCAGCATTCCACATTTGCACTGCCAACATTTGTTAACAAAATGGCCAGTTTTTGAAGATGCAATTTTAAACATATCTGTAGAGACTGGAAGCTTCTAGAAAGAAAGACTTCCCTTTTCATCTTTGAATCCACCTTCCAAAATGGCTTGAAATTGGTGCCAGAACTGTGCCATTTGATCAGCAGAAACAGAGCTTATCTCCTAGAGGCTTCCTTCACCCATCCTTATCCTTAAGTTCATCCATAGTCACTAAAAAAACAACAAAAAATAAAATTAGGCCCCAGTGCTTTCTGTGATGTTGTCATTCTTTTGTGTCACCTGCAGTCTTCCAGCTGACTGACAAAATAAGTTGCAGCCCCTAGGGGAGTTGCTTCTGCCTTATAACCTAGTTTCTGCACATCCCTGAAAATGTGCTCTGCTAATTTGAAATGTCTGTACTTTATAATGGAAGTCTGTTTTTAGCTTGTCTTAATTGTTCAATATTTCTATCCTGGACAAAATCCCCTTCCCATCTCTGAGGATCCTTCAGGTTCCATGGTATTCTCTTCACATATCACTGAAACATCTGATATCTAAGATTTAATTTTTCTTTTAACCTCCGACTTGACTTAAAAGGATTCTACTAATACACATACACCATATTCAACACAGTATTCTTTGTTCAGCACTGCAGAATATTTTGATTTGGCCTTCTGTGCCCCAGTTGTCACTTTCTTTTTAGCTTTCCCCAGAATCTGCCCACTTAAACAGCATTATCTGTTCTTTTTTAATAAGTTTTCTGCATGGAATTATCTCTCTGAATGCATGGTTGGCATCCTGTACTTCCTGTAAAGCTTGACTGACTATCCGTTCTCATTTCAAAGCTGAAATATATGTCATATGTTGGAAATACCTTGCAGCAGGACTTGTTATGCCATAGTGTTATACATTGATGGTACTGAATAAACAAGAGCATAATAATAATAGCTGTATCATCAGCCATCTGATAATGTCAATGCATTTAGATTTGTCTCTAGGAAGACTAATACAACAAACTGTCAGTGCTGGTAAATACTTAATTGTAATAAAATGTGCTCTATTTGTTCTGAATATGTGTTTAAGTATATCTAAATTATTATATTATTTTTAATAATAAAACATGTTTACTTTGGGGGCCTGAAAAACACTATGGAGCACTTTGGATATGTATTCCTAGAAATAAAGAACAGGCATTTTGCCCTCATTGACGTGCTTCTGAAAGCCAAGATACTCTCATTGCTCGCAAGGGAAATACTGTATTTCCAACTTCCCTGGAACTGTTGGCATTAATCAGTAGCAAATCTTTATATCTCAACGGCCCATCCATCATGTTATTTTTGCAATTGCATGGTACTCCTTGCCAGTTTTAAGCCTGGCCTTGTGTTGCTACTGCAAATGAATAAGTCGCAGTAGAGAAATGGAGAACATATCTACCGCTAGAAGTTATTGTCTAGGTCTAACAAACCACAAGGATGCTGACTGACCTGTCAGTTGCAGAGTTCCATCATTGTCACTTTCCATCGTCAGAAATAAACTGAGGCAGCATGGGTGAGGGAGATGTGGAATAAAGCTGAGGAAGGAGTGGTAGAATCTGCACAGACTTTGACCAGTACAAAGACTGACTTTTCAGAACTGCAGTAAATTTAATTAGTGTGTAGCTCATGGTCTTGGGATGTTAGTTTCACTTTCGGTTGGCAAGACTTTTGTTTTACGTGCAATACTTCATCTTTCTGGTTTATTCTCCTCTAGGTAATAGCAAGCTTGCTAGCATGCCAGCTGGTGGGGCTGTAGCGGTTTCTTCTGGAGGGCCTGCTGCTCCAGCTGGAGGGGCTGCACCAGCTGCTGGTAAATATAATTGATCATGAAAACACATGTTTTGAGTGGGCAAACTTCAAACTGAACTTACCTTCCACAAATAAGTCTCTTGAAGTTTGGTATTCTTACAGAGCATGACTGTTTATTATGAAACAGCCTGTTAACTATCCAGCTTGCTGTTAAATGCCTTTGTTGCATTTAAAGACAAATATAGCTAGTTCTAGGAAGCAGTAACAGACTTCATTTATTTGGGCTCCAAGATCACCGCAGACG